TAGGTACAGACTGTCTGAGTTGATATTGTCACACATCCTCCTGAGGAGCAGAAGTGCCCTGCTTGAGGACCCCTGTGCCCTCTCTCTTATTTCCAGAGGCCATGTTGCAGGGTTTGTCTTTGCACCTACTCAGTCTTTTCTACCCCGGTTAAATTCTGAGGTTAGATAGGGTTAAATCACCTGCCCAGCTCTGTCGCTTATCAACTTTTCTCGTTACTGAGAACAGATGGCAGCTTCTCCTACGCAGAGCGATAGGAAGTCAGCGAGAAAGTCCAGGCCATTGTATGCCCTTGACAACATTGATTTCCTCCCAGAACAGCCTGGTCTTGTGCCCCCGCAGCTGACTGGGACTGGTGTTTGGCTGGCACCTCTGTTGTTGGTTGCTGCTTGAAGCCATTTCCCGAGCCACCGTGGCTCATTTCAGCCCTCACCCGTGTCCTTCTGCGTAAGGTCAGGACTTAGTGTGCTTAGGTTCTCCTTCAGCCGGCTCCAGTGCCAAGGGAAGGTCGTCTGTCTGGAGCCGACACTGGCTGGCTTCCAGCATTGTCAAAAAGAGTCACAACAGCCCTGTGCCTGGAACAAGGCTACCCCTTGCCTTGCATGCTTCTTTGATGGTCTTCAGGGAAGGGTTCGAGGCCTGCCTGAAGAAGGGATTCCATCACCAGCCAATCAAAGTGACGCCACAGATGGTTCTAAGCCTCAAAATGGAGTTTTTCTTAACTGTGCGTATTTCCATCAAGTCCTAGGAGCTGGAAGGTTTGTGTGTCTGAGAGTGGAGGGGTCAGACTTTCTGATGCAGGGTGCTATCAGCCTGTGGGGGAAGATCACCGAAAGGCGAGGATAGAGTTCAGATGGGGGCTTCGTGGAGTAGGCTCAGCGAGTGGCTGTTGCTCCTCTTGGTTAAGGAGCAGGTAGACCCTGGCTCTCCTGGTGTGGTCATTGATTCAGTGGGTGCCACATGTCACCCTGGACCCCTTTCTTTCCCTCTACTGAGAGTCTGGACAGCCTCACTTAATCATAAGTAAACATGCGGCCCTACCGAATGAGCTATGTGTTATTGTCCCCATATCCCAGATAGGAAAACTGGGTGCTCCATGGCTTTGGAAACAATAGACACCTTTCAGGAGAGGGACGCTTGAAACAGGGACACTACTCTCCTTACTGGGGTCAGCAGGCCATCAGGTGTCAAGGAATAGGATGCTCTAAGGAAGGGACATTGGGTTGGGGACATGGCTCAGTCAGTATTGCGAGTTGGGGGAACTGAGTTCGATTCCCACCAACCCATTAGAAAATAAGTGTCCAGATTGGGACAGAGGCAGGCAGATGTGTGGACTTTGCAGGCAGCCGTCGCAGCATAACGGGTGAGCTCCAGGGGGGGGGGGGGGGGGGGGGGGGGGGGGGGGGGGGGGGGGGGGGGGGGGGGGGGGGGGGGGGGGGGGGGGGGGGGAGACTGTCCCAAAGGAGGTGAAATAGTGTCTGGAGGATGGTGCCCAAGGTTGTCTGCTGGCCTCCACATATGTGTGCACACACCCCATGCACACACATAGCTTCATGACTAAACATGCTCTATGAAAGCCGGAAGGGAGCCGGGCGGTAGCATTCAGGAGGCAGAGACAGGAGGATCTCTGTGAGTTCGAGGCCAGCCTGGTCTACAAGAGCTAGTTCCAGAAAAGGCTCCAAAGCTACAGAGAAACCCTGTTTTGGAAAAAAAGGGAAAATTTACATACCCCCGAACCAACCCTGGGACATTGAAGACGTAAGGGCCAAAATGAAGAATTTTGCTGCGTGGATGGTTAGGAGAGAAGGCTGAGGGACTTCTCCAGAAGACAGAAGAGAAGAGGAGAGAAGAAAATGCTCTAGTCGGCTAACTTCAGAATTTCAACTAAATATATAATGTGGTAGGCTAACCTCTGCACTTCAACAGCCAAGCTTCAGGATATGGTAGGGAGGAACAAGAGGTAAGGAGATATTTGGAGGAGTCCCAGTGTGTTAACTTTCAGTTTAGAGAAGGCGGGGCGTGGGATAGATCTCAGAATCCTTCCATCCATAGCCTGTGAGCCTCGGGCTCCAGTCCCAGCACCGTGAAGGACTAGGACACCAGACCGAGAGGGCCTAACAAATCCACAGCCTCGCTGACAGAAACAGACATGTTTGTGCACACATGACACCGTCCAATTCAGGGGACAGAAGAACATGTAAGCTTCCAAATATGGAAAAACCAGGTCACTGACAAAAGATGAAGGATTAAAACCCACCAACCAAAAAACAAACAAAAACCCTCCAACCAAACAACAAGAAGGAACAAACAATAAAAACCCCAAACACCCGGGGACTACGACACCACGATGCTGACTTCAAAACTCTGAAGGAAGTTTGCCTTCCTTCAGCTCAGCACAGAGTGAACAACGGGTCTGAACACAAGGGCAGAAGGAAAACAGTGGGCAGACATGCAAGGCAGTCATGTTTTCTGTCCCCTTCCATAGCTTTCTCAGAAAGCTACGTGAGGGTTTCTGCCATGGAAGCCATAGGGGACACCAGGAAAGAGCAACAGTGCCTACAGCAGAGCAGCCAGCATGTGGTCAGGACGCAGGTGGTGGGGACCTGGGGCGGGGTCAGTGGGTCGAGGACATCACTGTAACGCACACTGCTGTTCCACACACTGTCTTGTTAACCGTGTGACTCTCCTAGCAGACCTGTGCCAGCAAAACAAGGGAGTACCCAGAAAGAGATGGGGCCCGCCAGCCACCCCAGATTAGAATCCTACTCTGAGGAAAGGCAGAAGGAAGGACAGACATCTGTGGTGCTTGTCGGGTGTATGAGATGGAAGCCACCCCCAGGGATGGCACCTGTGGGAAGGGGACCACCCGGAGGGTTAGCCTCCTATGCTAGCGTCTGTGAGGAGGGTGGGACGGACCAACAAAGAACAAGTGAAGGCTGAAAATCACCTGCTCCAGAAGAAAATAGAGAACAAAGGGCCGTGGCGGCTCACCACCCTCATCTGTGAAAGCAAGCAGGCCAAACAGAGCCCGCTCTGCCAGAGCCTGGGGAGGCGCCTGGACAGAGCAGCTGTGGAACAGCTAAGCCTCCTCTCTGGATGGCACGGGCCACAGGCGGCATCTCTGGCAGACGCTCAGGAGAGAGTGATGTGTGCCCAGCGATGCTGCTTCAGTCACCAAACAGCCGCATATGTGAGGATCAGTTGGTGTTTCTAGCCCAGTGCTGTGTGTAATGGCTGAGGCTGTATGTCCCTGCTACTTATGAGGCCGATCCAGGAGGATCTCAGTTCTAGGCTATCTTGGGTTACACAGACACTGCTTCGACAAAGAGATTCTAGACTTATGTGGTTTTCCTAAGCTGGTGAGTGTGTGCTAGGATGTCCCCACAGTGTAACCTAACTCACTTCACTCAGGAAGCATCTCTGCCCTTCAGCTGGGTGGGTCTGTGTCCAGGGGTTGTGGAACCTTGCAGATGTGAAATGCCGGAGTCAACAGGGGATTCTTTTCGGAGGTTTCAGAGGAGTGAGGCAGGGGCCTTCCTTGTATTGTGATGTAGTTTGTGTTTTTATTATATTTATTTGGGATGTATGCATGTGTGTGTGTGTGTGTGTGTGTGTGTGTGCTCACGCGTGCATACATGCTTGCATGCGTGCATCAGAGGACAACTTTTAGGAGTTGCTTCTTTCCTTCCACTACATGGGTCCTGGGGATTGAACTCAGATAGTCAGACTTGGCAGCAAGCACCTTTGCCCACTGAGCCATCTTGTCATGTGTTTTTCCTTTTGTTTTCAAGCCTTTAAGTTTCCTGAACCCTCAGTGAGTTTTTATCCACACTGACTGTATACAGAGGACTTTTGTTTCTTTGAAGATTCTACTTGTTTTTAGTTTATGTGTATCAATGTTTACCTGCATGTATGTCTGTGTATGTACCATGTGGAGGGCCCACAAAGGCCAGAAGTCAGGGTTAGATCCCTGGAGTTGGAGTTACAGGTAGTTGGGAGTCACCGTGGGGTACTCAGGAGCAGCCAGTGCTCCTTGTGACCAGGTGACAGGGACTCCGGTCACCACAGTCCAGAGGGTTTGGTGACTGCTCATCCTCCTTGCATTTCCTGTACAAACACACAAGAACCGACCCAGATGTCTTCCTTGGGCCCAGAGGCTTCATTGAGTCTGCCATCAGCATGCGCATTCGGAGTCCCATCTCATTCATGTTCTTCCCGGCTTTCTTTGAGTGTGTGTGTGTGTGTGTGTGTGTGTGTGTGTGTGTGTGAGAGAGAGAGGGGGGGGGGAGCACCTCCTGAACCCCTCTGTGATTGTGCCTATGTGTTGACACCTGATCTGGGGTCACTACTCACTGGTGATAGATTGACCCTTCCTCTTCTTCTCTTCTGGTGTCAGCTGTTTTTCCAGGCCCAGGGTGGGAAGGAAGGGGGAGGGAAAGCAGAGTCGGAAGCACAACTTCTATACTATGTTTTTAAAAACTTTTCAGCTTTAATAATAATAAAAAGTCTGTACAGAAAAGTTCATGAAAGTTCCGTGTACTAAATTTGTCAAATGTTGGAATGAAGAGTCATAGTGTGTACAGATCTCCTTTCTGCTTATAGCGTGCCCATAGCTGTTGTAAGTTCCCAGATAGGGGACATGCCAAGCAAAAGCTGAGTTAGGGCAGGCAGAGGCCTCCTGAGGCAGCCTTGAGTCTCTTTGTGCTTCCATGTTTTTTTTTTTTTTGTGTGTGTGTGTGTGTGTATTTGGTGCATATGTAGGGTGTGCTTGTATGTGGTGTGTGTGCGTGTGTAGGGTGTGTGAGTGGGGGTGTATTATAGAGTGTGTGTGTAGGGTGTGTGTGTGGCGTGTGCATATGTAGGGTGTGTTTGTATGTAGGATATGTGAGCACACACACTCTCCCTGGCCACTGGTTTTTCCCTCCGACTCTGCCCCAGCTCCGACTCTGCCCTGGAGACCCCAGGCTTCCTCCCTCATGGCTCCCATCTTCCCTCTCTGCAGACCCAGCATGTCCGGACTCCACCTGGTGAAGAGAGGCCGTGAACATAAGAAACTGGACCTGCACAGAGATTTCACTGTCGCGTCCCCAGCTGAGTTTGTCACCCGCTTTGGGGGCAACAGGGTCATCGAGAAGGTACAGATGAGTCCTGCATGCTGGTGGGGGTGGGCTCCTTTTCTTGGTTGGACACTTCAGAGGGAAAGTAAGCCGCCACTTGGGACACTTGCTGGGTGCTTGACTTCGGGGACTTTTCACACACCCCCCCCCCCCCCCCCCCGCATGGGTGCATTACCTCATTCCTCAGAAGGCGAGACAGGCTCTGGGCTTGGTCAGGAGCTCCTGGGTGCTTTGCTGGAGTGTGGCTGCTTCCTGGGCTGGTGGTCGGAATGTATAGACCTCCGTCCCTGCCACCACTCCCTGAGCTGGGCTTCCTAGAGGACAGGAGACCACACTGTGACGTCACGGATGGGCTGCAGCTGAGCAAATGTTGCCATGTGTGAGGGTCCACCTGGTTTCACCTGGTTCCTACTCCTTACAAAGCAGGTCCATACTCTGTGGTTATTCCTACTGTGTTCATAGCAAACTGTGACCCCAAGGCTGACAAAACACTCAGATTTAGAGTCCGCAGGAAAATTCAGAAATTGCTTTTTTTTTTTTTTTTTTTTTTTTTAGATAGGGTTTGTGTATTCCAGGTTGGCCTCAAGCTCCAAGGAAGTGTGTGCCGTGTTCCTCAGTCTATGCAGTACTGGCCCTGAAGCCAGGCTCTGGGCATGCTCAGTTGGCAGTGGGCACTGTTCCCATTGATTTCTACTCTTCCGTCCCTCATTTCTAGGCACTGCAATTTGGACCCACTGGGAGACATGGGCTCTCACAGCCTTTTTGCCTGCTCTCCCAAGATATGTCCTAAGCTTTAGATGTAGGGGTTGAATTACAGATGTAGCAGCTGGCGTTGGGCCCCACACAGACATTTATCATCCACACACTGACCAATTGGGATCTCTGTAGCAGTCTCTGCCTGCTGCCAAAGAGTCGTCTTTGTTGAGGGGTGAGACTACACTTACCTGGCCAGGCTGGCGCACGGGCTCCCATATTTACATATAATTTATTTATTTATTGAAATCTCACTATATAGCCTTGACCAGCCTGGAATTTGCTCTGTAGACCAGGTTAGCCTTGAACTAACAGAGATCCTCCTGTCTCTGCCTCCTGAGTGCTGGGATGATCATTTTTAAAAACCAAATCCGAGCCTTATAGTTTGCCAGATCTGGGTTTGAGCCTGAGTTAGGACACTCTGGCTGTGTGACCCTGAGGAAGTGTCACACTCCTCTGAGCATCGGTGTTTTTATCCTCCAGATAGGACAATGGTAGAACTTCCTTCAGGGGGTTGTTGTGAGGGCAGAGTGCAGCAGAGAAGAGCAGAGCAGACACAGCACTGGAGTCTGGTGTGTACGGAACACCCAAGCGATCGATGTCGGAGGGAATGGCACCTTTGCCACCCAAGCCCCTCATCCATTCCCCTGTCATCCCTGCATATGCTGTGTGGGATCATGTTCCGGCCTGGGTGCTCTCGGGTCCCCGTGCAGGTGGCACTATTGGCCCCAGCTCTTCCTGGTGTCCCCCTCAGGTGCTCATTGCCAACAACGGCATTGCTGCGGTCAAGTGTATGCGCTCCATCCGCCGCTGGGCCTATGAGATGTTCCGGAATGAACGTGCCATCCGGTTTGTGGTCATGGTGACCCCTGAGGACCTTAAAGCCAATGCAGGTACCCGAACTTGCTATCTCAACCCCTGCTGTGACCGTCCCTGTCTGCCCTCCCCTCCTCCACCCTGCTCAGCCCCCACAACTGTAGGGTCTCCTTCACTAGCTCGTAGGTTTTTGGGTTTTGTTTTTGTTTTGGAGACAGGGTTACTCCGTGTAGCCCTGGCTGTCCTAGAACTCACCCTGTAGACCAGGGTGGCCTCGAACTCACAGAAATCTACCTGCCTCTGTCTCCTGAATACCGGGATAAAGGTGTGTGCCTCCACAGCCTGGCTCATGTTTATGCATCTTTTACATGTTTGTGTGTGCATGAGTGTGTATTTCAGGAGTCAACCTTAGGTCTGTACCTTAGGAATCACCTGCCCCTTGTTTTTTGTATTTTAATTACCATACACCACATTAAACTTCATTATGGCACCTTCAATCAAAAGTAGTTTTTGTTGATTCTCTTTCCCCACTTCTCTCTCATCCCCACAACCCACGCCCTTCCACCCATATCTGTTACTCTACACGGTTTTCTGCAGCGTGTGTGTTGTTCGTTTGTTAGTTTCTGTTGTCTGTTTAGCTTCGGCCCTGTTGAAATAGACCATACTATAAAGTCACCATCAGCAATTGGCTTTTTAACCCTTTAATAGGCTCTTCAACACTTAGCATCCCTAAGTGACCTTTGAAAGCAAGAGTCAGGTTTTGCCTCCTGCTTAAAGTGACCCAGAGCCCATAATGCTCTTCCTGGTGCCAGTGACCTCAGCGTTGTCCCCAGTCCCCCTTGGTCCCATTTAACAGACAGAACAGTAGAGGCACAGGGATGTAAGTGCATGTCCTCCCATAGCCAGCATTCTCTGGCGGTGCCTCCTGTCAGGTCACACTGACATTCTCTGCCGCGGACCGTCCCTCTCGGAGACCACCACCCACGGGGGACCAGGGTGAAGGATAGGATAGTCAGGATACGATGCAAGGGAAATGACAGACAGACACACTGTGTAGTGAAAATCTGCTGCAACTTTACTTCTGTAAAGCTTCAGTTTTTGTACAAAACAGATCAAAGAACTTGGCAGGT